ATAATTAAATTAAACGCTTCTGTACAGCAAAAGGAATAAATCAACAGAGTAAGCAGACAGAATTTCTCCCTGTAGAACGGGAGAAAATATTTGCAAATTATGCATATGACAAAGAACTAATATTCAAAATCTACAAAGAACTCTGACAACTCAACTAAAGAAAAACAAATAACCCCATTAAAAAGTCAGCAAAGGACATGACCAGTCAACAAACATGAAAAAATGGTCAACATCACTAACCATCACGGAAATGCAATTAAAACCATAATGAGATACTATCTTACACCACTCTGAATGGCTATCATTAAAAAAGATAAAAGCAACAGATGTTGACAAGAATGCAGAGAATAGGGAACACTTATACACTGTTGGAAGGAATGTAAATTAGTACAACCTTTATGGAAAACAGTTGTATGAAGATTTGGAGATTTCTCAAACTAAAAATAGAGCTATCATTTAATCCAGCAATCTCACTACTAAAAGTGACAACTTCTTCATAGAACTGATATGCATAGGTTTTTTTGAATAAACATGAAAATTGATCCTCCCAATCTTAAAGTTTGAAACTTACATTTGTCTTATCTGAGTTTCTTCCTCAGAAAACCTAACACCCTTCCATCCTTTGGTTTCTAGGCCCATGTATTCTTCCTAATGAAGACATAGCACCATATGAAGATAATTGATTTAAAGTATGCACTGGGTCTTAGAGGATAAAATTGCATCTGAAATGGAATTTCAGGTGTGTCTTCAATGGGTTGCTCCCTTATTTGAGTAAGTCACTTTATGAAAGTGCAATGGGTGATATGGTCAATGAATTCAATGACCATGTTTCCACTCCTACACTTCCTTTACTATTAAGTGGGCCACTTTGTCTGATACAATGTTATGTGAGGTATTCTGCTACTGAATCAAATATTCTATAAGCCTTTAGATAGTTATACTGGTTGAAGACTTATGGTCATACTGGAGTATATGTGGTGTTCCAACCAAAAAGAAGAAAAAAAACTAATGCCACATCCAAGGTGGGAAAGTTCCAAGGTAATCAAAATAATCATTGTAATATGGTGAATTAGTGCTGACCTTAAATTTCATTGTGTAAATTTATGTTAAGTGACTTTGTACAACATGATTTTTTTAATTTTTAGTTCCCTATCTTCTTTAGTCCAAAAATATTCATTACAAAAATCAGTGAGCAATAGAAATACCATTTTTCCATATACATCATCAGAAGACTTGCCATTTGACCCTGGGACCATACATGTAAAAGGAAGTTATGGCTATAAGTTTCTTTAACTTTGTGCTCTCCTAATGAAACAACTCCAAACTTATTTTTTAGCATTTAGCTTTATGTCTCTAATCTTCACCCTAGTTTTAGAATTTGTGGAGCACAACATGATGCCAGTACAGTTGGGAATAGGATTCACTTATTTTCTCTGTGGACATAATGCCCAATTAAACTTAAGGGACTCTGGCATCCCTAGGGCTAAAATAGAGGTCACAATACTGTGTAAATAGTGGGTCATTAATAAATACTGATTGTTTTTATTTTAAAACACAATCTTCATGACACTACCAATGATGTTGGTACCTATGAAATCAACTTCTCCTTGTAGAAATCCATTAAGAATTTGGTGAAAAGAAACTGTTTCAGTCACAAACACTCCAGTGACTGAAGGCAATATCTATAATACTTTCCCCTCGTTATAAGGATTTTTCTCATATGTTCTTGATGCAGCCCATGTTACAGGCTAATTTCATTCATGATCAGGGGACAAAAGGTAGTTGAATTAGAATGTCACAAGGATTGAAAGCTCAAAAAAAACCCATTGCATTTATCAGTCTTTGAACTAGACTTCCTTTGAAACACAGCACAAAGAAAGGTATGGATATCGTTTAGACACTCAGAAAAAAGGTAAGTGATGCCTTTTACAGAGAATTATGCTATCTTGAGTGGGAATGGTCTTTCAAGATTATCTCACCCACATTCTCTCCTCTGGGTTGCATCACATTAGTTAATTAGTGTTCAATTTGTTTCCCAGGAACCTTGAAGTACATGTCAAGTATTTTCAAAGATTCTAAAAATCCATCTTTTGCTTTCACCCTTCTGAGTACACATTTGCTCATTATATCTCCATACATAAAAAGAGTCTGTGGGATCTAAGATTTCTTTTGATTCATGTAGGAAATATAAATAGGAAAAGAATAAGATAACAGTGGAATTGACACATTCTTATCAATGGATAAGTTCATTTTTCTGGTAGTGCAAAAGGAATAAGTAGATGAACTGGTATCAGTGTATAGGAAATATGGAGAACAGTAGAAAATGAGAAAAAAAAAACAGAAGTTGAGAAAAATAGCTACTGAATAAAGTTCTCTTTTATGCCATGCCCTTCAGATAACCAAATATTCCCTACTCACTATCAAATTCCATTTACTGGAAATTTATATTCTCAGCAATATGCTAGAAACAAAGAAAAAAATGGCATATGCATTTAATTATATTTTATATTATAGTAAAGTGTCTGTTTTCTCATATATAACACAAGCTGAGATGATAATTGCTGTTAGTAATAATAGCTAATAACTAATATTAATTATGTTATTATTGATAGCAAGTTGACATTCATTAAATGCTCAGTATGTTTCAGGCACTAAGTTCAGATGCACATACGTTATTTCATTTGAACTTCACAATAACTCTCTATCAATTCAGAGACTTTCTTGAATGTGGCACAAGGATGTCTATCTACTTGCCCAGTATCACACAACCCAGGCATAAAACCCTGATAGATTCCAGCTTGAGAGAAAATGTTTGTAACAGCTAACTTATAAAGGTGATTTTCTTTTTAACATTTGGAGATACAACATAATATTTTCTTGTTGTTTTGATTTGTGTTTTTCAATGATGAGAAATTTGCACTTCTTTTCTATTTTCACTGTCATCTTATTTTTTTTCTTCAAATTGCTTATTTATATTTATTGTTCATTTTATTGGACTTCTGGTCTTCTCATTATTATGTAAAAAATATTTATTTTTGATATAATAACCATTTCTGCCATAAACACTACATTTTCCATCTTTCCGTTTATCTGTTATCTTTGTTATATTTTTCTCATATAAAAGTTTATATTTGTATTGATAGTTGGAAATGATATATACCTGGCTGGGTTCTGTGGCTCAACCTGTAATCCAAGCACTTTGGGAGGCCGAGGCGAGAGGATTGCCTGAGCCTGTGAGTTCAAGACCAGCTCAGGTAACTTGGTGAGACCTCATCTCTACAATAAATAAAAAATTAGCCAAGCATGGTAGCACGTGCCTATAGTTCCAGCTACTTGGAAAACTAAGGAGGAAGGATCACCAGAGTCCATCTGGTCAACACTGAAATGGCCATGAGTGTGCCACTGAGCTCTAGCCTGGGCAACAGAGTGAGATTCCAACTCAAAAAAGAAAAAAGGAAATTGAATATATCTATGGTGTACAACATGATATTTTCATATATGTGTACATTATGGGTACATTAAAATATATGTGCACATTGTGAGTACTTTGTGGGGTGGCTAAATCAAGATATTTAACATATACACTACCTCACATACTTATTATTCTTTACATCTACATGGACACTCAAAAAATTCTTATGTCGTATCTTCTTGTATTTTTCATCCAAAAGTGTATTACTCTGTTTTTTCTATATTACCTTTATTTACCAGGAAATAATTACTATGTATAGCTTTAAAAAATTAAAACCACATATAATAGAAGAAGTAACAAATCTTAAAGCTATATACTTCATATATCACTATTTCTCATGCTGGAAAATTATCTCATTCTATGGCAAATTGTGACAATTCTTATTTTTATCTTCTTTCTTTAGTCTACCTAGCAGAACTATTTAATCTACCAGCAGTATTCTCTATTTTTATTCTTATAAATTCAAATGGTGTAAGTCATCCTAATAACATTTCATTTAAACATGCAAAGTAGATTGAAGAAACTTAGGTGCACTGGGTCATATAAATAAATAACTGATTACTTCCACAGACTGAAGAAAATCAATTTGAATGTATGATTTTTGGTGTTCTTGTTTTAATTTTAACCACTATCGTGCTGTATATAGTCATTTTTTGTGCTATCTGAAAATCTGGGAGAGGTGTGGTATAAAAGAAAGAATGGCCTTTCAATCTTGGGTTTAAGTCTTGACCTCCTCGTTACTGAATGTGAAAATTATTTATTCTCAGTGAATCACAGGAGCAACAAAATGTAAACCATGCCTATTTATCAGGGTTTTGGCAAGATTTAGAAAGGGTGTATTTCCTTTGTCTGTCACATATGAGTCAAGCAACAATTATCAATTTCACTATTTTCATCAAGGTATTTGTAGATGGGGAGAAGACACCAGCACTAATTACTATATATTACAAGTAAACAATAGTTGTATTACTCTGAATTAAATCATCTAATATCCACAATAGCTTTTTGTGGGAAGGTAAGCACATGCATGTCATGTAAAAGAAAGATACAACTCAAAAAAAATCACATTAAGACATTACTAAAACAAGCAAAATTTATTTAGAGCAATTGCAGATTTCGATGCAACTCTTATATCCTTTATATTACTCGACATTTTCAATCTGACTTAAAAATTATTGAATTAAAAGCAGTATTTTTTACTAAATTGTTTATTAAGCTACGTTAGGAGATAAGAGGGAGATAAAATGAAATATATTGAGAACTTACAATTTTTCATGGCATGTTAGATCTTTTATATCATTTAAATGTAATGATTTACTTTATAAAGTAATTCAAACATTACTAAAATTGCAGGAACTACGTTTAAACATAAAATAACCATGTTGTAATTCACATCAGGGCTCCATTTGACTGACTGTAAATTATATTTGATGCTAAGCAATTTGTTATCATTAATCTAAATTTAATTCAGTTCCAATAAGAGTGTTCAATAAGTATGTACTGACTAATTTTCTATTCTGCGTTTTTTTAGGAGTGAAAAATAAGTGAGTCATCATGAACTGGGCAAATGAGACCTCCCCAAATGAATTTATACTACTTGGTTTCTCAGACAGACCATGGCTACAAATGCCCCTTTTTGTGGTCATGTTAATATCATACACAATCACCATCTTCGGTAATATGTCCGTCATGTTGGTGTGCATTCTGGATCCCAAACTCCACACACCTATGTATTTCTTTCTCACTAATCTCTCCATCTTAGATCTCTGCTATACTACAACTACAGTCCCTCATATGTTGGTAAATATTAGTCGCAACAAAAAGACCATCAGCTATGGTGGCTGTGTGACCCAACTTATCATCTTTCTAGCCCTAGGTGCTACTGAGTGTCTTCTCCTAGCTGTTATGTCCTTTGACAGATTTGTGGCAGTTTGTAGACCCCTCCACTATGTAGTAATCATGAATCATTGGTTCTGTCTAAGGATGGCAGCCTTCTCGTGGCTTACTGGTTTTAGTAACTCAGTGCTGCAGTCTTCCTTGACCCTTCACATGCCACGCTGTGGTCATCAGGAAGTGGACCACTTTTTCTGTGAGGTTCCTACCCTTCTCAAGTTGTCATGTGCTGACACAAAGCCTATTGAAGCTGAGCTCTTTTTCTTTAGTGTATTAATTCTGCTAATTCCAGTGACGTTGATTCTCATCTCCTATGGCTTCATAGCTCAAGCAGTATTGAAAATCAAATCAGCAGAAGGACGGCGAAAAGCATTTGAGACATGTGGGTCTCACATGATTGTGGTGTCTCTCTTTTATGGAACAGCCATTTATATGTATCTGCAACCTCCTTCATCTACCTCTAAGGACTGGGGAAAGATGGTTTCCCTTTTTTATGGAATCATCACACCCATGTTAAACCCTCTTATCTACAGCCTTAGAAATAAAGATATGAAGGAGGCCTTCAAAAGGGTGAAGCCAAGAATCTTTTTCTACAAGAAATAAGTACTCCATTGTGATGAGAATCTTCTGAGTCTCTCATTATTTTTGAAGATGGTCATAAGTTTTGAACTTTTTTTTGTTTGTTGTTGTCGTTTGTTTTTCAGCCTCTCATAATTTCATTGAACCTTACCAAAAATTAGAAAATTCTTCCTCTGTTCAGGAAGCCATGGCATATGTTTTCAAAGGTAAAAACCCTTTGCTTTCCAGAAGTCCCCCAGTGCACTATGTTCCTTGAAGCAAGTCATGTTAATTTCCTTATATCAATGTCAGAGTAGTCAGGAGATTTCCACTTGTATGTGATTTGTGCCACAAGTATCTTGTCTAGCCCTTTAGTTAGGGATTTTTATAATTAAATAACCAATTATTCCAAGCTAAAAATTATTCCATCAGAACCAAAGTCCTCAATCACTTTATACCATATGATCCCTTGATAAAATTAATCATGTGCACCTTTTCAGAACTGTTTTAAGTATGTAGTTTGCCTCTAATCTTGCCAGTCATAAAGTAGCTAAGTGTGTGCATCTCACACTAAAAATCTGAAGTGTCATCTGGGCTTTATTTTGAATTTATTTTCAATTCATCCCTTTATTTCCCATGGATAGCATTTCTCTTTATTCCCTTTTGTCAGTTTTTTTTTTTTTTTTAATTTGTCCTAAGTTCTGCCCCAGGCATGTGGAATTTACTCTAAATTATAGATCTACTTATTTATAAAATGATAGTGGGAGTCATTTTTTTCTCATATTGATTTGAATTAATTTATTCTTTATTTGAGTAGTAACTAAAACATGTATTTTTTATGACGTCATTCTATTATTCAGATGTGAGGTACAAGTGAGAATTAGGTAGATAAGTAATCTACATGCAGGTGAAGTTTGGGCCTCCAACTGGTCCTTACTTCTCCTGGTTTAGGACCAGATATCCTTTCAGTTGTTACGTGCCCGCCCCCTCTCCCTCCCCTGGCAGTGTCCCATGACAGCTGATCCCTCGATTGTGCTATTGTGATTAACACAAGACAGCAGAAGACCAAAGGAAAAATAATCACAGTTCCTCTATGGAAGAAATGGTCTAGTTCCTGAAGGCAATGACCGTTAAACTGATGCACTTATGTGATTATTTGCGGTAAGCAATGTAAGAACATAGATGAGGCAACATTTTAGGAAACAGAGAAAGGGTTACAAAACAAGACATTTCAGAATTACAAGTAATTTAGTATGGTTTAAAAAGAACACAAAAAACACAGGAGGCAGATGATGTTTAGACTTCATCTGGTAAGGAAGGAAGAATAATTTACTTTATCTGGTAAGGAAGTAACATCAGTAATAGAAAATAACTAAAAACATAAGGACAGAACAGGTTCATATGCAATAACAATATGTTCACCAAATGTGACGTCTCAAATAAATGTAAAAGGGAGAGACTTTACCTGATGTTAAGAAGTTGAGTTTCTCCCTAATCCAGGCAAAGTGAGATCCAATGGGAGGCTCAAAACTCTACCTGTACCTAAACCATTTATGTATGCAGTCCTGACTTGTACCCCACAACTTTAAAATTAAATTAAATTTAAAGAAAAACTTGAGTTTCTCAGCCGGGCTCAGTGGCTCAGCCTGTAATCCCGCGCCTTTGGGAGGCTGAGGTGAGTGGACTGCCTGAGCCCGTGGGTTCGAGACCCGCCTAGGTAACTTGGCGAGACCTCATCTCTATAATAAATCAAAAAATCAGCGGGGCGTGGTAGCGCAAGCCTGTAATTCCAGCTACTTGGAAGGCTGAGGCGGAAGGATCGCCGGAGCCCAGCAGTCAGGGCTGTGGTGGCCGGGAGCGGCCACTGCACTCCAGTCTGGGCGACAGAGTGAGACTCCAACTCAAAAAAAAAAAAAAAAGAAAAAGAAAAGAAAAAAAAATTTGAGTTTCTCAAAAACATAGTAATAATTATAACATATTTAAAACAAATGAAAACAATTATATCCTTAGTATGGGGTCTTTTTTTAAATTTTCAAACCTGGCATACATTGCTATACCTTGTTGAATACATGTAAAGTATTTCAAACTCAACTATCCAAAAACTAAACACCAGCTCTTCCTTCACAAGTCCTTCTTTAAACCTCACTATTTTAATGAATGGACTTACCTTTCATTTGCATATATAAATTAGAAACCATGAATTATATCTTACACCAATCTCCATTATTTACCATATTAAAACCATTACCAGGCCGGGCTCGGTGGCTCAGCCTGTAATCCCACACTTTGGGAGGCTGAGGTGAGTAGATTGCCTGAGCCCGTGGGTTTGAGACCCGCCTGGGCAACTTGGCGAGCCCTCATCTCTACAATAAATCAAAAAGTTAGCCGGCATGGTAGCACGCACCTGTAGCACGCACTTGGAAGGCTAAGCGGGATTGCCGGAGCCAGCCAGTCGAGGCTGCAGTGGCCAGGAGCGTGCCACTGCGCTCCAGTCTAGGCGATGGAGTGAGACGTCAACTCAAAAAACAAAAAAAAAACCATTATCAAGGCATATCAATCATTCCTCTTTTGAAACTTATGTCTCTCCCTTCCTTCCCATCTTCACACTCCACATACCACCATCTTTTACCTGGACCTAAATTACTGACCAGTATACCATTATACACTTCTCCCAACTCACTACCAATGAAGTTTATAATTTGGGTTTACTCATGTGCATTATATCTTGATAATACTCCAGTATTCTTAAAACATAATTTAAATATCTGGGAATTTAATTTCACCATGCGGGTATATTAAAATGCATTTAACCCTTTTTCTATTGTTATACATTTACATTACTTCTTTTGATTATTATACATACTACTGCAAAGAATTCAACACATATGAATCTGTGTGTAAATGTCAGCTTATATTTTTAAAAATTGTATTAATGGCTCAAATTATAAATTTCTTAGAAGACTTGCAAGTTATAGACATTGTTGAATTACACTATAGAAATATTGTAGCATTCCACATTCCCACAATCACTGTAGATAGTAAATGAGAATGTTTGTATTATAAACTTTTACAAACTCTGGGAGTTTTCATCCTTTGAGACATTTGCCAATTTTAGAGACAGAAATATTATCAAGATTCTTTTTTAAAAATTTCCTTGAGTATTTTTAAAGTAGTATATTTTTCATACCGGGGATACATGAGGAATGTTCATAAATATTTTATTTCTTCTTCTCTTTTAGGCAAATGGTAGAATTGTACTTTCCTGCCCTGTAGAATGCAGCCTAGCTGTTTAATTTGATTTGCCAATAAAATGTGAACAGCAATGATGTGGGTCATTTTTGATTATTTTAAGATCTAACGCACACTCTGCCATATTCTCTTTTCTTCTGCCAGTCAAAATAATGTTCAAGGTAGGATTCTCAATCACCGAAACTGATGTTAAGAAATTAAAATAAGAAGCACAGGCATGAGGGTCAATGGCAAATGGTGAGGAATATGATTTTTTTATTTTTTTATTTTTTTTGAATTGGAGTCTCACTCTGTTGCCCAGACTGGAGTGCAGTGGCCGCTCCCGGCCACCGCAGCCTCGACCTGCTGGGCTCCAGCGATCCTTCCTCCTCAGTTTTCCGAGTAGCCAGAATTACAGGCGCGCGCTACCACGCCCGGCTAATTTTTTGATTTATTGTAGAGATGAGGTCTCGCCTGCCCAGGCGGGTCTCGAACCCGCGGGCTCAGGCAATCCACTCACCTCAACCTCCCAAAGGCGCGGGATTACAGGCTGAGCCACCGAGCCCGGCTGGAATATGATATTTAAAGATTAAAACTATTATTATCTCTATTCTACAGTAAGGAAATGTTTGGTAAACTATCACCTGCAATAATAATAGGGTAAAACTTCAGTTATGAAGAACAATGGATGGGGGAGCTACTTCCAATGAGTAGAATACTGAAGAATTTCTGAACTCACCACTGAAACTGCCCAGTGGTTTTCAGAATTTCTAGGGACTGTGACTTATATTTATCTCTAAATTTTCTCTCTGAATGGGAGTGTTTATATTGTCATTTTTTCAGTCCTACCTAATAAACTTTTAGCATTTGGAAGACAGTTTGTCTTTTTAGTCACAGATCTCTGAGTCAAAAGGATTCAATGTCATCTAATGATGAGATTAGAGGGCATTAAGGAGAGATCGTAAACTTTGACGCTGCAACTAGATAGGATTTTGCTTGTCTCCTCTCAGAAGGGGACAGTTGTACTTTGTGTGTAGCAAGAGGAATAAGCCAAATTTGTGAATACAATGGTAGTCTTTAAGACTGTCCACAAATATTTGTTTTTTTCATACCTTCTGGGCATATGTTAGGATCATACTTCGTCCTACCACTGAACTAAGCCTGTGGCTACTAATAGCTTTGATCAATAAGTGTGAGTTACAGTATTTGTTAAACTCCTGGAAAAAAATTTTAAGGACCAGTGTATGTTTTGCAACTTTTACTTCCTTTTATCATAACATTCTAGAAAACTTTGGATACTCTACTCCATCAACTTGGAGACGTGGAGAATAGAGAGGGATGTGGAAGAGTTCCCAGCAATATTCAATGAATGCAAAACATGAACAAACATTAAATCTTAGCTGGTGAAAGGCACTATGATTATAGGCTTGTTTACTAGCATATGTTAATCGATCATTTCTTTTAAAAATAATATTATGAGCCGGGCTCAGTGGCTCAGCCTGCAATCCCGCGCCTTTCGGAGGCTGAGGTGAGTGGATTGCCTGAGCCTGCGGGTTCGAGACCCACCTGGGCAACTTGGCGAGCCCTCATTTTTACAATAAATCAAAAATTAGCTGGGCATGGTAGTGCACGCCTGTAGTTCCAGCTACTTGGAAGGCTGAGGCTGAAGGATCGCCGGAGCCCAGCAGGTGGAGGCTGCAGTGGCCGGGAGCGGCCACTGCACTCCAATATGGGTGACAGAGTGAGACTCCAACTCAAAAAAATAATAATAATAATAATAATAATATGGAGAATCACTGATAAGTGGTAGGGAAAAGTCAGGAAATAAATCTACTTAAAACATTATTCTAATTTTGTATATGCCTATACAAGTTAAAAAGTACTGTAAATAAA